TTCTGGTTGTGTTGATGGGCTTTAAGGACGTGTTGATCAAATGCGAATATGGTTCTAATTAATTCCAAGCTAAGTCACTGAGTTGATTCGCCTTCATATTTTCAGTGTATCAACACCTTCTTTCTATCAATCAGGCAAATGAATTGGTAAATATTAAGCATTCGAGACTATCGGTAGATCATGAAGTAACATTTTGGCCTCCCTAGATTAGGTAACTTTATGAACCAGAGTGATGGCTAATTTCACTCACAATGATAAAAGTCCTCAGGATAACATTGAATTTCATTAAGCCTTGTCTCGCTGAAGGTAACCTAATCCGAGACAGGTTACCACCTCAAAAATGTAAAAAAATGAACGCTGCCCTACCGGGGTTCGATTCCGGTTGGGGGAGTTAGCATCCTGAAGCCTTCTCTTATCATTATTGAAGAAATCAACTATCTATCTTTCATTATTGGAATTGATAATGTTGTCATTTAGACAAAACAGTAAAAATTATTTGCAATTACAACGATGTCTGGCAACTGGTCTGATGGACGAAAGTCTAGTCCGCTTTCCTTGTGGCCGAAAGATGCTGTCTAATCGACTGGCTAATCCTGGACATTGCAATCCAATGGAAATCAGCCGTCCTCTTCTGATGAGATAGACCTACGGTGCATCACTTTTTCATCATACGGCTTTACATAAAAAATAGTACCCACAACATTGTTAGGGATACTTTCATTTCGTATGAAAGTGAATAAAGAAGATATTCGTTGGTCGATCTCACCAGATGAGGACGGATGAATCTCGTTGTACTGCGGCCGTTTGGCTTTTATACGATATTCACGTTGACGCAGTCCACAAGACTTTCTTTCTCGTTTCGGGTAAAAACGTGCTGAGCTTTCGTCCATCAAATGATGGACATCATCAGAGCTGGGTGTCATTCTTGTAAAAGTTTAACGTTAGCACTAAAGCAAGAACACTAGCCGGCTCTATCTAACTTCTTAAATAGACTCAATTGAGCCAAAAGTAAATTAAAAATCTAGATAGATTCATATAGAGTGGTTTGGTTAATTTTCTTTCATACTGGTCCTGTTATTTTTGCTCGATTTTATGAGTTTGTGTATTTGTGCGTGTTA